ACTGCATTTTCTGGCTGAAAACTATCTGGACACAACGTTTTCAACCAGCCTCATTTAGAATCTTGCCTCAGACACAGGCCTGAAGCCCCTGGCAAACGTATTGAAATACTGCATTCTGTGCCCTCAGCCATGTACTAAACACAGATCATAAACAGCACCCCTTGCTGCCCAGACAATGACAACACCAGCAAAGAATTAGGCCCTTCTCCTAAAGAAGGACGTGCTATCTAGCTGCCCATGGGGCTCTGCAGCCCATGGGCAGCCCTGATTTAAGGGCTCTATAGTTTGGTTCCCAAGTGAGCCCAGTGTCTGCAATCTACATCCCCTCCACACCCACAGCACACAATCCTCATGCACTTCGGGCTTCTGTGCCTAGTCTCACTGCTCAGCAGCCAGCAATGGGCCCGCAGGGAAAGAGGTCTGGCACCCAAACAAAAGCCCGGTACCCCACAGCAGAGCTCTGCCGCAGTCCGTACTGCTCCTGGGGCTCAGGTGGCAAGCAGCCATCTCAGGGAGATATGGGGCACCCTTCCCCAGGAATGGGGGGCCCAGCAGGGGCAGAGGGGGGTTGATTCTAGCCCCCAGCTGGAGGTGGGGCTGCAAACACAGGCTCCCTTATGCAGGGTGGAGGAAGGAATTTGGAAACAACGGGCCCCCCGATTCCCACAGACACTGAGGCCACCTCACCCAACTCTCACCCTGGCAAGGGGCGGAGACCATCTGCTCCCATGTTAAAGCCCCTTTCCTGTGCCAGAGTGGCGTACAGGCTGTAGTAAGCCTGCGAACCAGGCCTGGCACCTCTGAGCTTCCCAGGGCAGGGAAGGCAACTCAGGCCTGTAATCCCCACAGCCCATGCTGGGATGGCGGTGCAGGGATCCCAGCCCCGCCTCCCTCCAAGGCAGATATATCAAGGAGCCAGGGCCTTTTGCCATGCGTACAGCCCTCGAATCCCAAGGTCCTGCCTGCTCCACAGACACCGAGGATCATGGGTCACTTCCCGAGGAGTCAGGATTCCCTAGGGTCCTTGGCCAAGCTGTCCTCTCCCCAGCCTGCTGCACAGCGTGTGCTCTGGACATCTGGCTGCTACCCCCGCACTGGCTGCATGTCTAGAGGGCTCTCGCAGGAGATCCATTGAGAGAACGAGATCCCGGGCAGGGCTGACCCCTCTCAGCTCAGCCTGGCATAGTGCAACCAGCCCATTCTCTCAGACTCGGACCGAGGGCCAGGCTAGTCATGGGGAGCCCAGAGCTGCTGCATTCTCTCTTTGCAGGTGCGTGGAAGTCCCTGCCTGTGAGACCATGCTACCAACCAGACAGTGCTGAGAAGATGCCAGAATCCATTCCCCTAGGAATGGCCTGGGTTACCATGAACCACACAGAGGGGATGGGGAGCGGTAACCAGCCCGACGAGAACACAACGTGGTCTCCTTTGGCCCCAGAGCCGTCCCTGTGGGAGTCCCACACCATCGTGGTGGTGGCTGTCTTCTGCTGCGTGTGCCTGCTGCACTTATCTGCCTTCCTGTACACCATCTGCTTCCAGATCCAGGGCCACTCCAGGCCAGCCCCCCGCCTGGCCAGCCCCGGTGTCTACGAGGAGAATGAGATTTCCACCTTCCAGCCATCCCCCTCCGCCACCGACACGCCAGCCAGGGCCAACCCCTCCTGAGAGCAGCAAGGGGGTGAATCCAAGACACCTCTGAGGCCAGCACTGCGGCTGGTGTAAGTCAGGGAAGCTGCTGATTTCAATGGAGCAAAACTGGTTTGCATTCGCTAGGGATCCGGCCTAAGTGGTTCACCGGCTGGAGCACATGGTTTAAGGGCCCAGCCACTGTTTGCACCAATGTGACACAGAGGGGGTTAAATCGCAGCGTCTAGCAGCCTACTGTGTCTTTGATAGGGGGCTGCAGCACCAGTCCTGGACACAATGGCGGATGACGCCGATGGCTGGCAGCCCCGAGGGAGCTCTCCCCAGGCCCAGCGGGGTCTCAGCGTGCTACAAAGGGCTGAGATCATTCAGCAGCCCGACCAGTCCTAGTGGGGGAGACTGTTCCACCTGACCACGCCCAATCCTGCCCCCTGCCCTGCACCTGGTAACTGCGGGGGGGCCCCTCTCCTCCATAGGAGGCAGCACAAAGCTGTGTCATCCCACTGACAGCATGGGGTGAAGCGGGCAGTCTGTGAAATCCCAGGGGAAAGCCATCCTGCAACCGTTGGGGGGGGGGGCAAGTGCTGCTTAGCCCGTGGGCCCAGTGCAGGGTCCAGCCACTGCAGGACCTGGCTCGTGAGGCTGGTGTCAGCCTTTTCCCTGGAGAGCCCCCATGCACCAGGCTCTCCTCCATGAACACGGCACATGTGGGGAGCAGGACGGGCTTGTGCCTGGGGCGCTGGGCGGGGACTCCGGAGACACAGGGTCAGGTCCCAGCTCTGCCACATGCTGCCTCCGTTACTCTCTCTGGGCCCCTTCCCGCAGCTGTGGATGGGGAGAAGGACCCTCCCTTGGTCAGGCTGTGAGCTCTCTTGGGCAAGGACTGTCCTTGCTACATATAGCACCAAGGGGTCTTGAGTGCCACCGAAACGTAGCCTGCAGGATGCAAACCTTGCAGCAGCCTCCATCCCAGACCCAGCTGCAAGTACAGGAAGCTTTTTAAGTTGCAGTCACTACAGTGTTTTACCTTGTTCTCCAGGAGCTGGGGATCGAGTCTTCTCTCACGCAAGCAGCTCTCTCTTCCCCCAGGCTCCAGCCAGGGGCTTTTAGCCAGAGGGAAAAGGCATGCAGCTTGCAGGAAAAATCCCCCTTGCAAGTGAGCCTGGGAGCTTCCCCTTCCCACAGGAACAAACAGAAGAGCCCAGTCCTCTCTGCACCAGGGCCCCCTTGGTGGCACCTGTGGGAGGAGGCTGGTGCTAATTGATCCAAGGCAGCAACTTGCAGGTGTGTGAGGGGCTTTGGCTTCAGTCTGAAACCTGTGCCAGGCTCCGATACAGGTTGAGCCATGGACTAGCTCTCCGCAGGCCTGCCCCACCCACTCACCAAGGGTGGTCAGGGGACTTGGGCACTGCCATCTGGTTTCCCTCCTCACCCAGGCGCTGCCTGGGAGCCATGTGGTAATAGTGCAGAGGGCGAGTGCGCCTGGAGGGAGCACAGACAGCTGTCAAGGGTGGGACAGCAAGGACCTGCCACCAGCCTACACTGCAGCACAAGGCGGGGAGCTGCCAATGGCCCTGCAGCTAGGGAGGGGTGTGGAGATGCTAGAATCCAGCTCCCCCACCCCTCCAGGCAGCTGGGCCCCTTTGTCAGCTCCCCCTCCCCACCACAGAGTCCGCCACTGCCAGGAACAGACCTGCTGCCCTAGCCACCACCTCGTCGGCCTGCTCCCACGGCAGGGGTGGAAACGCTCCCTGGGGACGCTTCCCTCAACTCTGCAAGTTGCAGGACTGGCCCCAGGGGGATGAAGGTGAGGAGTCTAAACTATGAGGTGCTTTCCTTTCCCTGGCTGGGCAAGCAGCAAGAAGAGTAACCCTCTGCCTGCACTGGCCAACAATGGGGGAATGGCCAAGTGCTCCAGGAGCGCCCCAGCCGGCCCGCCGTGGCTGCAATGGGCCCTGATACCAAGGGGGGCGCTTGCCCTGCCATTACTGGGCCTGCTCCTGTCCAGTGCGGGGGGGAGGAGGACCTGTCTTCAGCGTGGTCAGTTTTGGGGCCCCGAGAGCTGGGGGCAGTAGCACCAGTTCTGCAGAGGGCAGCCGGCTGTCGGGCCGGCCCACCACAGAGGGCATCGGCAGAGCAAGGGGGTAAAAGGGCCAGAGCAGAAGCCGGGTCCTGATGCCTTGTTTCCCACAGACCCAGCTGGGCTACAGCAGCAGCCCCTGTGCATTGCAGACACCTGGGTCCCCGGCAAGGGCCATGTTCACCAGAGCCCGTCTCCCTGCCAGGGTCCCCGCTTGCACTGGCATTCCTCCCCTGCCCTCGGGCCAGATTCTGAGGAGAGATCCTGGCTGGTGGGGTGCACCCCCCACGTTGGGTGCTGAGCTGAAAATCTGACCCTGAGCACACAGCCCTGCACTGCTTCCACCCAGTGGCCAAGAGAGCTCCCTGCAGCTCAGGGGTCTGTGACAACTCATTGAAAAACCGAAGCGTAAAGCCAGGAGGGTTATTTCAAAGACCGTTTTACCTCGAATGGGCTGTAGGGGATGCACTCAGGAACCGCAGGGAGGATGAAGAGGCTCAGGGCTTATGGGACTGAAATTATTTGGTGGGGAGTGGTGGGTTTCTAGGGCACATGGGGGCCTGGCAGAGAACCAACAGCTTCTGCTTCTAGAACGGCAGCATGGGCCGGTGCTTAGAGCACAGCAGCAGATTTGGTCACTGTGTCCCCAAGACACCTTAAGGAACATTCCCGCTCTGTGCCTCAGTTTCCCCATATCTGTGAGATAGATGATGGCACATACCTCTGTTAAATGCTTTGGGAGCCATGGCTGAGGAGCTAAGGAGTGTTATCACTGCAGGAAAACGTCCCTTGGAAGGAGCTCTCTCCTCGTTATTCAGAAGATTCTTGTGTGTTGGTTAGCTCAGTGCTAGGCTGGAAGTCTGCAGTCTCCCTTCCATGGAGCAGCACAGGACAGCCAGCTGAACAGGAGCAGCTGTTGCAAGTTATGGCCTCAATCCTGCAATCTTACCTGCCTGGGCTGGCCCCAGCACTCACATGGGGCCCAAAGATCCAGCTGCATGGATCTGGTTGCAGGACCCGGCCCTGTCTTTGCACTCCCTACTGAATGGCTTTGACAACCTTGCGTGGCTGATCAGTGAAACGGAAAGTATCACATGCACACACAGCGCTCATGTTTCTAGGGGAAGGTGTGTATATTGTTACTGGTGGGGGGCAGGAAAACCAAAAATACCTGTATATCCGGAAGTTACAAGGGCACACTCCAAAAAATAAAAATGACCATGCATGTAATTTCAGTGCTTTACAAAACGGAAGAGGAAAAAAAAGAAAACCAACCTAAAATATAGTCCTGTAATTAAATTACAAATTAGAAAGTTGTAAAAGCTTACTACAAAAATACAGCGGAGTAAGAGGGCTTCTCCTTGATTGGGGTAAAGTGACATCCACTTCTTCCTCTGAGAGGTTGGGTTTGTTGTGTTTTAAATTCCCCATACAAATATCCCTGAAACATAGATGTGTACAAGTCACCACATGACTTGCTTTGCTGCTTTTAGCTTTAAAATGTACATCCAGGCACTCACCATATAAGTATTTACACGTTTACAAAATGTACAAAAACCAAACCAAATATGCCAGAATCAGGAATTTACAGTGTAAAAAACCAGTCCAAAGCCCATGGATGCTGAGAGAAAGGAAAATACAAAAATACAGGTGTCTTTTTGCAAGGGGGAAATTCAGTCTTGTTTGGAATCCCCAGAGCTTCCCGCTGGAGAAACTGGCATGAGACAGCACCCTATCCTTGCATAGAAACAGACACTGTCCATGTGGCGCACAGTCTCTCTCTGGACAAGGTCAGTGGGTCACAGAGCATCTTTCAGCAAAAGGCAGTTCTCAGTCTGCTTAACAAACACACCCATTTTCTCTCTCACACACCCCGTTTTCAATGGTATCAGAAGACCTTTTCCTCTCCGACGAGATGGAGCAGGATACAAACATGGTCAAGAAACTTTCTCTGCCCAGCCCCCCCACATAGAATCGTTGTAAGTTCTTCAAAAAACCAAGCAGGGATTATTTCAGGATCTCTGTTGAGGCTCCAGGGATAAGAGACACGGCATCTGAAACAATCTTTCCCGGTTCATTTACACCGAAGCCATCAGTCTGTATTTTTCAGAGGGACAGTCATGTCATCTAGGCCCAAGAGTTACTTTTTCCTAAATGAAGTGTTTCACAGAATTTAATAATTGGATCAACCCGAAAGTGTCAATGAACAACACCTAGTCTGGTTTTACACCTCCTTCTGCAGCATTTGCAACTCACTCTCTGCAATCTTGGGCTGGTTCTGGAGAACTAGGAAGTGAAACCCACTGACACCAACCTGCCTAATTTCTCCCTCCAAGCTGAGCAAAATGCGTGAAGGGAACAAGAACACAACTTTTTGCAATCACTTTCTGTTTTGGTTACTGTTGGTAACGTGAGTGCAGCGGGATCAGTGGTTTTTTAAATTTGGGTTGAGACTGTCAAACAGTCTAGAGGATTTAGACACATCTTCCATTGATGCATCTAAATCTCCTGCAACATTGCACTGTTTTCCCCCTGACCTGTTTGCACTTCTAGCCAAGCAGGTTGCCAAGACCAGGGCAAAGCGAGGTCCATGCCAGTCCAGCCAAACCAATGGCTGGGACACAGACACTTCCAGAGACCAAATCCAGACCCCAACTGCTCAGCTCCAGCAATGCTCCCGGGGGCAGCCTCCCCCATGCACCATCACCCTACATTTCACCAGCACTGGCTTTTCCTTACTTTACAACCCAGCATGACCCCCAGAGCACGGACAGCCCTGTCTGCACTGGCAAAGATGGGACCCACCAGTCACCAGCGCCGCTGGCGAGAGCTGTCATGCGGACCGGGCTCAGAGCCGGGTGAGAAACGGGCCCCAGCCCAGCCTGCACTGCAGCTGCCACCGGCAGGAACTCAGCTCCCAGTTCCACCAGCGCAAACCGGACTGGGGAGGTGAAGATTCCTCCCGCACAACCACCAAGCAATCAGGAGTCCAGCCAGGCCTGGAACCCCATTGCCCCGCTGCGCTCCCAGAGATTCCCACTCTCCAGAGAAGACATGCTCACGCTGGAAGTAATTTGAACACGGGACCTCCTGAGGTCACCACAGGCGTGGCTCACGCTCCAGCTGAGAGAGGGGAGGGGCATAAGGCTGTAATACCCTTTCTTACCACAGGGGGCAGGCGTCACTCAGACAGAAATGGCTTATCTTTGGGGCACCACTCACAAGGTTTGCTCTGCTCAGGCCTAGAGGACCATGGCAGGGGCCAGCTTTACCCGCTGCTCTAGGCATGAAGAGAGGGAGAGCTCGAGTGGGACTGCACGGCACAGCCTGCCTTTAACCTTGGTTTCCCCATCAGAGAGCCCCTCCCTTGGGACACGAGCTCCCATGGAGCGTCTAGTTTGGATTCCGATGAGCCGAGCGGCCGGGCAGAACGCGCAGCTCCCTCGACAGCCAGTGGCTGGGGCTGGAAGAGCTGGCTACATGCCCCGCCGGACCCCATGGCCCACTCCCGCCATCGAGCTCCCCAAGGAGCGGTGAGGCTGGAGAACAGAAGGGGGTTTGTGCATTGGACTTGGAATCGGGGCGAAGCCACAAAGTGCAGCGAGTCTGCGGCTCTCGGCCTGGCAGATCTGGCCCAGCTCAGGAGTCTGTTATTGCCAGCCCCGGCTCCTGGGACAACACAGCCTCATGGGCCAGTCTCGAGAGAGGAGCCCCTTTGGCAACTACTGACCTGGGTGGGGGGAAGAGGAAGGAATGGTTTCACATAAAGAGGAATTGAAAGGGGTTTCCCCTGCCACAGCTCATGATGTTGCTAGCACCAGGCAGAGCTGGGAGCTTCCTTCCCTACCCAGCCCTAGGGGGGAGGGACACCAGCCACTGGGACAAGAGAGAGAGTCTTTACTCTGGCCTCAGCAGGGGAGCAAAGAGGTACCCAGGGCTGTGTGAAGACATCGGAGTCACACTGAAGTCTGAGCGAATGCTGTTCGAGTATTCAGCAACTCAGCTTGGGGGTGATCCCTGGAAATCTCGTCACTCCCCTGCTCAGAGCCCGAGTTTCTTCCACTGGGAGCGACTCTCGCTTTAGCACCAAAACCGTTAAGAGCAGACAGATCCCCCGGCACAAGGCCAGTGCAGACCCTAAAGATAAAAACATGGCCCACACCTTGCCCAGCGCCGGGCTCCCTGCACACTGTCGGCTCCTAATGTCACACAAACGCCCGCCATGAGACAAGCAGCACTGGGGCTCAGGTGCTATGAAAACAGATTGCCCGCCCCCCCCTTCCCACTCAGCAACGGCACTCAGGTCCCATCTGAGCCCACAGCACCTCCCAGCTGCCCGCATTCCAGCCCAAAGCCAAGACGACTCCCCTCCTCAGGTCACTCCTAGGCAAGTGGCAACCCAGGGGCCCATGGCCAGTCCTATGGGGGGGTCAGGGGGTCTTAGTCTCATCCTCTGGGCCAGGCTACAAGCCATCGTTGTAGGCTGCTAGACCCTGGGTAGGTGGCAGCTGAGGGAACCAGAAGTGACCTCCTGCTGGGCCGAGGACAGGGGCAGGATTCAGAGGGGGACTGACTGACTCTTTGGGACACTTGCTTAGAGAACGGAAGCTGCGGTGAGGGAAGCCAGAGGTGCTGGGTTTGGGAGAGGGCGAGAAGAGAAGAAGGGGTTTGGTCATTGCTCCCTTCACCAATTCTCTTCAACAAGGGGGTTTGGGTGCAACTGTCTGATGGCCTTCGTGACCCCAAATTAAAAGGACCCCGGGTCCTACCCAACTCAAACAGAGCCTCCTTGCTCCCCCGGCCTGGGCTCCCCCAACCCTGCTGGTGCCCCTCAATCCCAACCCACAACCCCCCGCTATCCCAGGCCTGGGACCCCCCCCAGCTCAGAGCTTCACTGGTGCCCCTCAATCCTGACCCACAGCCCCCCGCTATCCCAGCCCTGGGACCCCCCAGCCCAGAGCTCCACTGGTGCCCCTCAATCCCAACCCGCAGCCCCGCCAGAGGGAAGCAGCAAGGTGGAGAGTTCAGTCACACGAGCACCACCTTCGGTTCAGACATTTTTGCCCTTCTTTAGCAAACCGTAACTCTGGCTTCCCCTGCGCTGGCAGGACACAGCTGGCTGAGCCCCTCTATCGGTGCTGCCGGGGGCGGTGCTAGAACAGGAAAGACCCTGCCTGGACTGAAAGGGGCCAAGCAGCTACAAGACACACTGCACACCTGCCCCCTGGTCTCTGCAGCCAGCTGGCTATGGCCAGCCCCTGTTCAGCCTGAGCAGCTAGGGGCTCCCACCCGGGCTGTGACAGGGGGGTGACACCAGCAGGGAGCACCCCCTCCCTGACAGACGCAGAGTGGGCACAACGCCGACAGTGCCTCCCAGGGCAGGGTTTGCAACAGGAACCGTGGGGGCGGGGGCAGAGTGGGAGCAGCTGGGAGAGGCCACCCCAGTAAGCACGGCAAGGAAGCTATTGGCAACAACGAAAGCCGACTCCACCCTCTCGCACGCACACACAGAGCGATCCAGGCTCCCTTGCGCAGTCTGTGTCTGGCATGTGGCCGTGCCAGGGTCCTGCCAGCGCGATGCGCCTTCGGGAGCAGGGCTGAGCCGGCTCTGGTGGCGGTACCCAGAGGCAAGCGGATGGGATGAGGTGTAGCGAGAGTATCTGGCTTGCAGTCCTGCGGGGGGGAGAGAGGGGGGCTGCATCTTCCCACCCAGCCTCCATGAGTGACTCAGCCCAGCAGGGCAGGGTGATGGAACAGCCCTCACCCCAGCTCTGGCTCCAACAGCCTCAGCTTCACATCCACGGTAACCCTGAGAAGGCAAGGACGGCAGCTCCACGGGCGGGCTCCGGGTCGGGGCTCTGGGCCTGCCCGTGCTGGCTCTAACGGAGCAGTGTATCCATGGTAGAAGGGCGGTCAGGAAGGCGCCTGTGCTATGGCCCGGCCTTGGCAGGCGGAGTTGGCCGTGGGAGGATGTGAGTTCACGCCCGCTGTGAGGTTGGAGTGTGTGTTGGTGCTGATGGTGTAGTCAGCCGGCTGTGGGGGAGACAGAGGGGGACAGCGGGTCAGACAGGGGCTCAGCCACTCCCGCCTGCAAGCCGTGGGCTCCCCCATGATAGGCCTGGCCAGGAAGGCAAGGGACAGGGGAAGGGATACTGGAAAGACGCCAGGACGTCTGCAAGGGCAGCAGCTCAGCAGCACACAGTAGGGCAGAGACACCTACCCAGGGAGCGAGGTCTCAGAGCTGGCCACGCGTCCGAGCCCTTCATACCAATGGCACAGAAACCAGGCAGGGCCGGCGTGGGCCAAAGGCGTCCACACAGCTGACGGGGGGTGTTACGGGCCAGTCTCAGCCATGAGAGGCCTTCTGCCAGAGCCTGGCCAGCTGACTCCAACTGGTCTGAGGGGGCATTCGCTTCCCCTGGGCCGAAGCAGGTCAGAGCGAACCAGCCTTGGCTGGAAGGGCTGGCTGAAGGCAGGCGTGGAACTGGGCCGTCTCCAGCGCCTGCTGCAGTGCATGGGGGAACCCAAGCCGGGCCAGGGTCCCAGACCGGGGCAAACGCCTCAGGGAGTGCAGGCAGGACAGACAACAGGCCTTACGTGCCGCCGGAAGAGCCGTTGAAGCAGGCTGCGCTTGGGGGGCTCGGGGAGCTGCTTCCAGTCCAGATCCGGGGAGCGCATCCCATTTGGTCCAAACACATTCAGGTCTTTAAAGCACTCGGTCTCGATCATCTGGGAAGAGGCACACAGGGGACAGCTCAGCGGGAGGCACCCGGGGCCACAGGGAGCCCAGAGATGGGACCGTCCCCCAGGCAATCAGAGACAGGCTCCCTGGGGAGGGCACTCTCCCTGTGCCTCTGGGAGCAGGGGGCTGGCCAAGCCGGATGCACTGGGGTGCCAGCACACTGGCGCTACCATCCCTGGGAGCCAGCAAGAGGAGGGACAGCCCCAAGCCCTGGAGCTAGGGCAGGATCAGTCTCTTCTTTGTATTCCTCAGTTTAAGCCATGGGGCTCCTGCCCATCCTCCCGGGGCAGCTCCCTCCTGCTGGGTCACCCTGAGCTCCATTCCCACGCACCCTCCTCAGGGCTTGCAGCTGCAGGGCAGAGGCCTGGATCCCAGCTAACTCTGGCTTTGCCCCAGCCTGGTTTCTGGTGGGATGGGGCAGAGGTCCTCCCAGACCCTGGCATGGGGCCCAGCTGCCCAAGAGGGAAGCCCACCACCCGTCCTGCACACCCTGGCATACCCCACAGCCCTGGCACGGAGGCAGAGGGCGCAGCCATCAGGGCACCAATCTTCCTCTGGGGAAAGCAGACAGGCCAGAGCCCCCCAACCAGCGACATGGACTCAGCCTCCCTCCTTGCCAGCTGCTGTGCCAGAGAGCGGCATGGGGGGCACTGTCTGCGGGGACACACAGTGGGGTGGCGGAGGAGTTTGGCCTTTATGGCTGCAGAGTCCCGCCCCCCCTTTACCTCATTCTGCCAGGGGATAGAGACGCTGCCCGTGGCAAATTTGGCGTAGAAATCACTGTCCGTTTGGTCCAGGTTGACACCCTTGACGGTGGAGAACTGCTCGATGTCCAGCACGTCCTTGCAGTACACGGCCCGAGGCTGCAGGGCCCATGGAGAGGCTCAGCGTGGGGCAGGGGATTGACCGCCCCCAGCATGCTCCAGGGCCCACTTCCCTGCTGCTAGTGGCCCCTGGGCTGGGAAGGTAGCCCCCTCAGACTCAATGTGCACCCACTGGAGGATCAGCCCATCACCACTGACCCAGCACTGACTCGTGGCCCTTCCGCCCCGACCCTGCCCCTCTTGGGCTCTTACATCTGGCACAAACGACGGCTTTATGACCCCGGCTTCCAGACGCTTGAAGTTGATGGTCCTGAAGAACGGATGATGCTTCACCTGGGCGGCCCCGTCCTCCCCGCAGCCCAGTCGCTGCTTCGGGTCCTTGGTCAGGAGCTGGGGAGACAGGGACCAAGGCCCAGTGGTCACGACGGGGGGGGGGGGGGGAGGGGAGGTGATGCAGGCTGAACGCAGTGCAGCGGGCTAGA